CACATTTATTTGACAATGTTGGTTTATAATACAAAATATGAATAATCTGATAAAAATCATGATATATATGCTATATTTATTCCAAAGGTGAAGTATTTTTTGAATGCTCAAACTTTATGCACATTTTAAATGCTTTACTTGTATTTGTAACAGGATTTCTACACTGGTATTTCCACTTTTACTTAAAGAGGCCCTATTAGGCTTTGGGGGTTTTTCCCTTCAATCTAGTGTTGTATAGGTTTATGTGCATGTAAATGGTCTGAAATCCCAAAGTGTCTCTCCCACACACTCCCCCCCCCCCCTGCCTGAAACGCCTCCATTGTAGTCCTTTGTTCACTTCGTAATATAATGACATCACTATGTAACACGCGCCCTTCTATTGGCTAGACACATTGTACATGATAGGCTAAAGGGCGGGACATTTCTAAGCAATTGACAAATCACAACAGAGTCAGCCAGCTAACCAATCAGAGCAGACTGGGCTCTGGTTTCAGACAGAGGGTGAAAAGAGGTGCTGCAGCACAGGCAGTATGAGGAAAATAAAGAGCTTTTTGAACATGAAAGCATGTCCAAGATGAACAAAATACAAACGTGATCCTAAAAATGAGCATGATAGGGCCCTTTATAAAGACCTGAGTACTTCATGGAACTCATCATGAAGATTTGCCTGTATCTGAATGAAGTATTATGGATTAGATGTATGCATATATATTAATGCATTCATTTAAATGTTGCAGCTGGTAAACTAAATTAAGTAATATATAAGGTGCAGGTTCTTTAATAATACATCTTAAAGGGGACCTATCATGCAAAATGCACTTTTGTACGTCTTTTATATGTGTCCCCCGGTGTTCCAGGGAACTCACCAAGTGTCAGAAAACACAACCCTCTCTATTTTCCTCCATACCCAAATCTCTAAAAAAGGGGCTGCAACGGATCTGATAAAAACTGATCCAGATTTGAACACTGTCCTGACGTCAGGAAAGTGGCGCTACGGCTATTGGGCCAACTCTCCACCTATCAGGGGAATGTGGGGTTGGGCCACGGCCGGCCATTGCCGCTCAAAAGCGCTGGAGACGCTGTAGTACATATGCCAGGCCTGTAAGTGGCGCTGTAGTCGGCCACAAAAGCAGCGAAGAAGACTTCCCGCGCATGGTTGCCATGGTTACCCTTCTGTTTATTCTCCGCTGTGGCTTTTTTTTCTCCCTCCCCGAGGCAAGCGTTTGCTCCTGCTGCTTTAATTCAATGCAATCCCTCCCCGTCGAGGCAAGCACTGTAATTCTCTCCGGTTAGTCCACCAGCAGATGACAAACACCCACCTCTCCGCCTCTTCCAAGGAACGAGGGGACCGTGTGGCAGAGTTTCAGTTAGGTTTTCTTTCGCCGGTCAAGATGTCCGTTAAAGTTGAAATCTTCCGGACAAAATTTGAAAAGTGCCGGTCAAAGGTCTTCTTTGTTATTTATTGAGCTTTAAAACAAATGAATAACGACTCTATATAATAATATAATAAAACACGGAGGACGGAGATCTGCTCCCTCTTCTGACAGCCCAGCAGCTGTTCAGAGCACGCTCCCCTCTCCTGCAGGGGGGCGTGGTCAGCTGCAGCTCACAGAATCAGCCCCCTGCAAAAACAGTGCTGGAAAGAGCAAATGGAGCGAAATGAGGCATGGCTAAAATGCAGGATCTGTTTGGTATTTTGAAAAAAAAACTATATTTATATACTTTATATAGGTATGGCCCTACTGGCCCTATATTGTTCAAATATAGCATGATAGGTGTCCTTTAAATCATTTTTTATCTATCTACAGATGTCAGATAACGTTAATAGAGTTAATAGTACAATAATTCCCTCTGAAATGTAGCAGAAATTGCAAACCCTAAAGTAAAGTGAGCACATAAAACTTAATAAAGTAAATGTATTTAGCTACTTCCCATCACCTCCTTTTTTAGTTCCTCAACCTAAATATAAAGTTAAGACTGCAGATAGAGGATAAGTATGTTGTTGCAGCCTTGGGTAAAATAATCATTTGAGTTTTGGAGGAGCTAACTGAGAAAAGACACAAGCTCTGGGGAAATTCAATATATTTGAACTTTTAAAGAGTGTCAGTTTTGACAATGGAATCCTTTGGGCCTCACTGTGCTGCATGTTTGCCGCCACAATAATTGCATCCCTGCGTTGTATTATGCTCAAGCACTTTAGGAATACTAATGACCCCCGGGGCTGAAATGGATTAAGCTTAGTCAAAGACTAAAATGCTCTTTTAAAGCTAGACTGACTCAAATGACATTATGCATATAGTAGATGAATTCACTGCATTGACTCCAGGGGCAGTCATTAATGGTAATCCAGCCACAGCTTAAAGGGTGCAGAGACAACAAGAAGAGGAGAAGGTGCTTGATATGTTTTATCATCCATTTCTGTCTTCAAAACTAAGAAAGGTCAAATTAACTGTTTATTCAAATCTAGTTTTAAGTTTGAAACCATCCTCAAACAAGTGTCAAAGTGATTAAAATCCAAGTGATGGATTTTATTCTCTATGTAGATGGATTTTATCTCACAAATAGCAACTAAATACATGTAACACAGCAATGTATTTAAATTACCAAATTAATGAAAAATACCATTAAATTAAAGTCATTCATTCCAAGGGGTTTAAGCCAGATATATTATTTTCGCTTAAACGCTTTATGTAGAATACAAAATGATATATATATGTTGATTATCTTTATTTGGCACTGGTGATGTGAGGGTTAAACTGCCTGGTTTAGATTGATGTCTTTCGGGATTGTATAGCTTTATTGCCCAATTTACACATTTGTGAGATAAGTTTTTAAAGTAAGTCTCATTATATCACTTAATTTGTAACATATTAGATTTAGTAAGTAACCTCACTGCCAATAGTGAATCGACTGTATTATGTAGCATGTTGCTCATGTAAGTGTTCCCCTTGAGGCTGTGACAGTTTGTCTGTTTTCTATCTGTGCCACACTGCCATCTGCTGGCAGGACAGCTGAACATACTGCTGGAGCTGGGAGACTTCACAGAGCTGGGAGACGGTGGGAGAGCTGTAGCTCAAATGAAAGTCCTCCAGGATAATACAAATCAGATGTTTATTTTATTTTACAAAAGTGGTCCAAGTCTGCCTGGAGAACAATGTCTTAAAAAAACAACGCTGTTTTGTGCTCCTTCTGATTGGAACAAGTTACCTGTAAATATCCCTCTTTGGTTTAGTATTTTTGTTAAACATATTGTGTCTTTTATTATTCAATATTGTTTCTTATTTTTTGCTTGCTTTTCTTTTTCTTTTCTCTTACTTTGTTATGCAAATTCAATGTTAAACATGTGAAAACCTGGTGAAAACCTAACCAATGACAGATTTATATTATTCAGACCATCTCAAATTTATTGATTTCATTAGACTGCACCTTTGGCACAGATTACATTCTCTTATATGATGAAATACAAGTTTTGCTCACCTGGATCTGGAGATTGTTCTGCCATTCTCCTGTGCGGATCCTCTTGAGCTCAGTCAGGTTGGATGGGGCTCGGCAAAGGCCGGACATTTTCAAATCTGTACAGCAATCTTTAGCTGGGTTCACGTTATGGCGACTTGTCCCTTTGTCATGAGCCGTGCCTGGTATCCTCCTGACAAGTTGCTTGGAAAGGAGGCCAAACAATCCAATCTCACCTCTTAGCAAAATCATCTTCAAATTAAGAGATTCCTTAAGTGGATTATTTCAAACTCCAAGAATACTTTCATTAGTCTCTAGCTGAGGATTTGTCAGTGATGGTTATCCTTCTGTAAGTGATCCCCAGTCTAGACAAGCAGTCATCTCAAGGAAGATTCCTTATAACTAAGAATATCTTAGTTGTTACAAAGGCTGCTGTTCTTTTTGGGATCTTCCCCAGAGCTCTGCCTCCACAAAATGAAGCCTCTGAGCGTTACAGGCAGCTGGTTTGAGGCCTTTATATAAACAGATGTGTGTCTTTACCAATCAGTGAGGACTCCAGTCAGGGTGGCTGGCTGCTAAGGAAAGGTGCTTCAATTCTTCCTATCTGACCTCGCTCATCATAGGGACCCTCCTTTACCAAAGGAAAGGGGATAATGGTATATCACAAATCCTTGTAAGGTGCATAGAAAAAAAAGAAATTAGCATATATAGCTAACTAGCTAGATTCTCTGAGCAATTGTTGTTTTCCATCAAATTATTGGACCACAAATCATGTTTCCTCATTTTTCGATTTGTGGTAATGAGTCCAGATTCATGAAGGGAGAAACTAAATATTATATAATGCTAACATTAAGCTAACTATTTAAATTGTCTCTGATTAATCTGCCGATATTATTCTAGATTTATCGAATGATCATTTGGTCTCTTAAAGGTGGGGTAGGTAATTTTGGAGAAACCAGCTCGAGATCGCTAGAATTTGAAAATACACAGCTGGAAAAAATCTGCCACTTCCTTACAGAGCCCCTCCTCCAACACACACGAACGCGCACATGACCAATGAGGGCACGAGATAAGTTTGTGCACAGATGGAAGGCTGACGGGCAGGTAGGCCATCCAGTTATTTTAGCCGGGCTAAAATGATTGGTCGTGCTTTTTACAGTATTACGGCTTCCACAGATGAAATGTTATGTATTTATTGTCAAAGCACTATTGTCAAATTACATACCCCACCTTTAATGTGAGAAAATAATGAATAATACCCATCCAAGTTCATCAAGTCAAAAGGGCTGTCTTGTTTTGTCAGTACAAAACAAAGAGATGTTTAATTTAATAGAATATTAAACAGAGAAAAACAGACAACCCTTCTTACTTTTTCTGACATTTTTGATGAGAAAATAACCTTAATGATTGATCAGGTATTAATATAGCTGGAGGAATACATTTTTGTTCAACTTAATCGTCATCTTTCTACAGTTAGAAGTAATTTGTATGTTTACAGACTATATAAAAAAAAAAAGGTACCATAAATCAAATGTCCATACAAACAGTCCAACAAACAGGTCAGTGCTCATGGCATTGTTTATTTGAAACTACTGCTCCACTGAAGAAGAAAATGAATCACTGCTGATCAAAAGGTGCAAGAGTTACATGAGTTTAACCTGGAGGGAGAATATCACACAGATATTGGTTAGGTCAGCTCTGATTTCTAATGGATTCAAACCGGTCAGCTATACAAAAAGGAGGTCATGTGACGAACAGTGGATGCCATCTAAACGGCCACATGTGCAGCCGAGGCACAGGGAACAGGAGAGGAAGCCTCGCTGCTCCGACTGATAAAGTAACAACGTTGATTCTCAACACTTAGATTGCCTTCAAATCTTCTCCTGACTCTTCACGTATAAATCTATTTATTTTTAAAGAACGAGGAGTTGCAAGCTCACATTTTACACAACAAGTTATTTGTTATCTTCATCTTGGAGGCGTTGGGCCTTATCTACTGACAGTTTCTATGTTTGTCCATTAAACGCAGAGCACACTGCAAGAAACAACAAAACAACAGCAGACACATTCCTCTCATTGCACTTCTTCAAAGAAAAGAAAATCGTCAGTTGTACAAATCACCCTCGGGTTATCTTCAGTTGGTGAAATGATGCAGACAAGCTCATTTTTAACCGCCTACTTTTTTCAAAGTAAGACTTTTTTTTCTAAAACAAGATTAAAACATGTAGATTAAAATGAGCACATCTCTTGGTGTCCTCTGATACTTCACATGGGTGGCAGGAAGCAGCGTGGCCGTCACTATTGCAGGATAAGAGGAGGAGCGTGAGGTGAGCCCCAGAACATAATTACCCAGAATGAACACGCAGAAATGGACAGTAATGGCTTTTCCCTTTGAAACCAGGAGATCTGCCTGGTCAGTTTAAAGTGTCTTGGTGGAGAGGAGGGCTGAATGTCCTCGCCTCTGACGATCACACATGGCGGTTCAGAGTGAGGGGTGGTGAGTGAGGGAAACAGTGGCAGTGTGGAGGATCTTATGAAGTGTTTTCTGTGAAGGCGACTCTTTGGCGTGCGCTCCGGGGTCTACTCCTCGTCGGGGCGCTGGCTGTCCGCTCGCTCTTGGGTTCGGACGGCTGCGTTTCCACCTGCGGGCTGCTGGCGTCTCCCAGAAGCTCGCGCAGGAACTTGAACTTGGACAGGAAGAGCTGCCAGACTACATACCAACCTGAGGGGCAAACAGACAGGGGGAGAGGATGTTTACTGGCATATAAAAGGCAGTCTTAAAACCACAGGTGAACCTCATGTAGTAACATTACACTGAGTCACAGAGGAAAGTGTACACAAAGAAATGTACACAGACTTTGCCAATAAAGCCGAATATTTGGTAGCACTTTACAATAAGACTACCCTTATAAAGGGTTTACGAATAGTTTGTAATTCATTTATTAATTAAGTTGTGAACACTTTATAAATCATTAATAAGCTTTTATAAGACATGAGATAAACAGGGCACCTGTGACCGGTTGCTTGCCAAATAGTGAGCCCATATTTATCTGTACTGCTAAGCCTTATATTGGCTACTTAGCTTACTTTGTCTTCTTCATCAGCCAGCATCCTTGGTATCTGTTGTCCACTGACTTGATTCTCGCTAAGTAGCCAATATAAGGTTTAGTCATCTTGCCAAATAGTGAGCCTGTGTTGATGTATGAAAACTATGTTAGAACTGGTTTATAAATGGTTCTTAATGATTAATAAAGTGTTTACAACCTAATTCATAACCTAATTATAAACCCTTTATAAGGGTAGTCTTATTCTAAAGTGGTAACGAATATTTTTAAACCAATCCAAAAAAAAGATGGTGGCCAGAAATTACATCTCTTCCAAGATGTGTACAACATGAACCAACATTTAAAAGTATTATTTGACACAATATTTTTCAATTTTTATTGTTTCATATTCTTAAAATTAATAGTATGTTTATTTTTTATTTTTTTAAAGGCAACAGACTAGATAGAGCTGGTAAATGGGCTATTTTGCAAAAAGAAATTTCAATATCGTATTTACTTTTCATCAAGATGGACAGAAGGGCAGCTGTGGAAAATAACCACGTGTATTTATTTAAGTACTGTACTAAAAAAAGTGTCTTTCTTTAAAGTTCTTCTCAGATCCATGTTTTAAATACAACTGAATTATAATATTATGGTTTTAAACAAAGCAAAGAAGTGGTTGAATTTAGCTCCGACTAGTGCTGGGCGGTAAACCGTTTCATACCGAATACTTTATATATATGAACTTTATATCGTATGATATGAATTTTTCATATACCCCAATACCGTTGCGGTGTTACAAAATGTGTAAAGTCTGAGATGTCTCGGGGCTCAACAAGCTTTGGCAAAGCCTTAATGTAGCCTCGCTAGCCTGTACATAATGTTCAGCTAGAGCGCTTTATGGTGTTCATATTGTAGCCATTTTGAGTATTAAATGTGTTAAACGGTTGATAAAGTCTCTATAGTTACTTGCACTAGTTTTATTTGTTTACTTGAGTACTGTCAGTGTAGTGAAGCAAGGTTTATCAAGTTGCACTTTTTATTCTGAACCTAAGTTTGGAGGTCAATCATAAAGAAGTATTGAAAAGCGTATTTTCAAACAGTTCTTTTGTTGCAAGTTGCTATGTGGTACGCAAAGTTAGCACAATAAAATGGTTTACATATTGCAGTTGTTCCATGCATTCTGATCCCTTCACCACATAAGACTCATAAGGGCCACCATTGATCATTTGTTTTGAGTGGGGCCAAAACGTATACATGTAAATAGATTTCCAATCATTGAAAAATAAATGAATATTGTGATATAACGTGATAATTTAGAAAAAAAACGAGATATGAGTTGTTTGTCATACCGCACAGCCCTAGCTCCAACTACAACATATTAAAAAACATCAATAATAATAATAACAATATCAAAAATATATATTTAACAAACACCAACAGGGCCATTCTGCATAAAATCTATTTTTACTTGATTGATAATACTTCTGTAGTTACACTTAAGTAATATTTTTTAAATGTATTACATTTACTCATATTTCTATTTTAATTGTGTCGTGTTGGTACTTTACTCGAGTAGATCATTTGTATACTTCTTCTACCATGGCAAAGGATTCTTTTGGGACTCTGGAAATACTTTCAAAACTATTGTTCGTTTTTTTTAAATATGGCAGGGTATTTATCTTTCAAGAAAACAGCTGCTTAGCCCTGGATCTGTAGTTACAGTTAAGAGACATAAACTGATCAGGTGGAGGAAGAGGAGGAGATAGAAAAACAGACTCTGCTGGAGGCCATAGAGGAGCAGCAGGGTTATGTTGTGACTTCAGCTCTGCTCGTGATAAAAATAGAAACGCCGTACTGAAATCGAAACGTGCCAGACATGTAATACACCCTGACCTGTCATACAAGACAACTTAACATAAATAGTTAGACATTAGGGCAGAAAATGTTCCAATATTCCTTAAGGAGATCAGCCAATGCGTAATCCGCTCCTGCAGCCTTATTGGGGCAGCGTGTCTTTGTTACCCGTCTTATTATGACACATTAACGATACATCCAGACAGTAATATCTCACAGCAGCAGGACGGATATCTACCATTCAAGCTGCATTTTAAAAAGCTCCACCTCCTTTTATCCGTGTTTCATTTTAACTAAGAAGCCCCAACAATACCTTACCATGTGTATATCAAGAACATGATAGGACCCTAACTCATATCCTTATGAGTTAGCAGCTTTGTGCCCTCACTATCTATCAAAAACAAAGCTGTTTTGTTACAGATACATAAGGTACAGTATGGCTCAGAAAGTGAGCTTGTTATGTAAGTAACTGATCAAGGTTATTTCCTTTAAACTCACCAAACAGCATGAAGAGCAGCGCACACACCAGTGTGGCCACAATGACCAGCAGTGTGAGCCCGACACTCTGCCACATCTTAGCGGACACTGGGTAACAACACCAGCATAAGGAGGGGTCTGTCTGCGGTGTGTTTTCTGCCCCACACCGCACACTAAAACACGCAGCTAGCTAGCTCTGTTAGCCGCCTGGCAGCAGAGTTAGTTAGCTGTGGAGAAAAACAAACAGCAGCACATCGCACAGCAGCTTGTAGCGTCTGTCTGGCTAGCTAGTTAGCTCGCTGGTTGTCAAACGGAGCCACTTTAGTTTAAAAAAACAGATTTTAGCATTAGCTAACGTTAGCTGGTCACAGCAGGGTTTAGTCCTTCTTCTGTGTGCTACATCACTGCAACATGTGTTGTTATTATCACAGACAGAGACAGTGCAGCAGCTACAGTAACTTGGCTAAGAAGACAACAAAATAAACGTCATGAAATTGATTCACACTGCGCATGTGCAAGATCTATTTGACTTCTGGGTAGTGAAGTTCTTATTTTTCTTCTTCTTCTTCTTCTTCTTCTTCTTCTTCTAGAACCTTTTTGTATTAATCTTGAACCAGAGTAAAATGAGAGGTCAAATTATTTATTTGGTAAAAAAACTAGAAAAAACATTTCACAAGAAAAACCACAGCTCAGCTATTTAAAATAATAATTGTATACTATTAGAAAAGCACACTTTAGCAGTCTAAACATACTAATGGACCACAAAACATGTTATTCAAACACTATATGACAGTTATAAACTTTTCTGGTGTCAAGAAGATAAAAGAAAACCTGTTGTGGTCAGATAAAGAAAATTACTTCACAAAAGAAACTAACAAAGCAAGGTTGGACCAAAATCATCAGTTAAAATCAAATATACATTATTCTATCTCAAACTTAAACATTGTGGATAAAGAAGAACAATCTTTATACTTAAGTTTCCTTCTTTTAGAGTGAAATTTGAAAGCACTACTGCATTGTATTTGCATATCCAGCAGGAGGAGTCATCATCAAACGCCTGTAACCCGGTGATTTGTTTTCAAGTGTCAGTATGTTTTGTAGTTGGAGGTATTCTTATATTCTGACACAACATCATATTTCCCACAAATGTTCTCATCAAGTCAGCTCCCACCTTTGCTTGGTTTCTCTTACAACATTTAAACAGTATGTAAATGAAGCTTTGAGGTAAATATAGAAGTACAAAAGTATCTTGTGAAAAGATTAAATAAGATTAGATTCAAAAATATGTAATCAAATGTATTGATGTAACGCTATCAGGTGGGAGAAGTACTTAAACGTGTAAATATGTAAAAGTTTAAAATACCCAATTACAAGTAAAGTCTTGATTTAATAATGTTCCAAAAGTATCTCAAAAGTGATCCTAAAACCAGTACCACATTGTGAATGCAAATGAAGTGTTTTCAGCCTGTCACTCACCCTCATTCCTCATTCTGACATTGAGGAACAGCACTTCATGTCTTGACTTGCAGTGGAGCACATCCCTGCATGTACGCCAGCATGAGTATTTGCATATTCTGCTGAGGCACGGTGAGTACATGAGTCACTCTTCAAGACTTCATTTTAAACACCTGTAAGAAGAACACTGGGTATAACTAAAGTATGTGGATCCAGCCCAGGAATCTGAAAGCCTTAGGAGCCTTCTCTCTGAATGGGTTTAACGACCAGATTTTTTAATTAAGGATTTGGATTGAATTTGAATAAAACATAACATGAGACTGAAATGTTTAGCCAACAGCTTTACCACTGAGTTTTATTTTGAATGCACATTAGAGGGAGGTTAAAGCTGTACAGAGAGAATAAAACAACACAATACAACGTTTATATAATACAGTATAACATATTTAGAATTAGAAAGGAAATGAATAAATGAAAATGTTCAGCATAATAATAATAATAATATTAATCATAATAACAAGGCCTTGCATTTTAAAAACAATTGTTAACAGTGCTTGTAATTATTAATTAATTCATTAAATAATGATATTTTTAGTCTGGATTTAAAATCAGCAATATTTGGAGTAATTGATTTTGTAGCTCTGTAATTGTTGGACAAGTAGATCATTAATTTGTTTCTAAAAAATCTTGCTACATCTGCCTAAAAGGTCAATATGTTCACAGTTTTCTGCTGCTACTTATCTTTCCTTTGAATATGTCTTGGATTCTTATTTCATTTACGTGTGCTTGACACTTGATTCATACTGTTTTACTTTTGTCTAGCCGCGGTATTGCCTCTTTGCTGGACAAAAAGAGAAATCTTGAATCTGAATTTGGATTCTGCAGACAATATGGGACTAGAAAAGTGTGTTATCTCCCATTCAGTCTATGCTAATGGCCTATATAAGAACAGAAAGCACTGGCCTGGTTTCAAAGAAGGTTTCTGCTGATCTTATCTGATGCAACAAAATGTTCCACACAGTTCAGCTGGAACGTCAATCAGATATAACATAAACACGCGGTTTGCCCTCTTCCTGTGAAAGAAGTTCATTTTCGTCTTTTCAACTATAAAATGCATGTGATAGTATTTGAACATTTTCCTCTGAAATACAGTGCTGTAGAAGTGCAATTACCTCAAAATAGATTGTTCTTGCATCCTTTCGCAGGCCTACACAATCTTATATTTTTCTTTAAAATGTATAAGTGCATGTTTATGTGGCCCTCTGCCCAGATTTTCATTAGTAATTATTTTCTTGCTACTTTTTGCTTTAGTGACCTATGCGCACACATATTAAATGTATATATTTCCTCATTACACATCTTCACTTATGCATGCAGATGTGCCTAAATGTGAGTAGGTTATATCAAATTTCAGCACAAGCAAGTACCGTCAGAGTATATTTATGTAAAACCGTTTCCGTGATTGAATCATAAATCTCACTTAAATGTTGTTCTTCTTTCCCTTTCCTCCAGCAGCTTGTTTGTCGGTTAAGCGGCCCGTGGCTAAACCTCCCTGTGTAACAATAAATGAAGCAAACACTTGTTGAAATTCAACACCTGTCAGACCAACACAGCATGTGGTAACTGTGAATGAGATCATGGATGATGTTTTTTATGTTATCTGATCATTGTGTACTCTTGAAAATAAATTTGACCTTAATTGGACCTTAAGGTGGTTTAATGTCACAGAACAAGTTTTGACATGTCAGCGTTCCCCATAAAAAAATGTTAAACTCAAACCGCTGATGACCTTTTGAATTTATGCGTTTTAGCTGCATAGAAGAGATGTTCTTACAGACCTCAGCGCTGTGCAAAGACAACAAACATGTTTTGCATATACATATTTCTCCTCAGAGCACATACATTTGCTGTGCTTCAATGTAATATGAGGTATTTGTTCATAATTCTGTGTAAAACGTCAAATACATTTAAGTGCAAACAGGACGACCCAGACGTCATGGTGGTGACCTGTCAATCAAATGGTAGCCACGTCCTAAAAGGTGCCCTGCTTTATCGTCTAGTTTCACTTTAATTGGGGCTATGGCTTACAAAGTTAATATCAAGGTGTATTAAAAAAGACTTGAGAATAGAAAGTGAGACGACGAACTTATTATAATAAAAATAATATGAACTGAGGTAATAAATGAAGGGAGGTGTAGGGTCATGTTCTCATTTACCAATATACAATCAGACTTGTTTTCACCCCCAGTGAAAGAAAGCACATTTTAGACACTTCCCAATTGGCTTCACTTTTTAGAACCATAGGTTGCTGTAAAGCACAACACAACTGAATCTCCAACAAAACTGTCTGAGTCACGTTGCAATCTGGGAAATGTAAGCAAAAGCAATTCAACAAAGTATATACAATTACTGATAAACCTGCACAAACAAACTTGATGAATTACAAAACCCAAATACTCAAGATTTAATGGACCTAGTATTCTAAACACATTTGGTCATTGTCTACTATGATGACACCAATACATTTCTAATAATTCATTACCATTTAATCACATATTTGTTGCTTTACCTGGTTTTATATCTTCTTTCGTAATAGGATAAAAGATGTTACCCTGGGCTTTATGCTACTGTCCCAATTATCTAAAAGTTAATCTTTTAATGAGGAGATTTGTTTTGCTGCACATAAAACGCTTCTGGTGAAAAAGAAACATGTCCAAGTAGTTTTGGCAAAGTTAGAGTCAAAGTTGAAGGGTGTGATGAACAGGTTTTCTTGTATACACACACACACACACACACACACACACACACACACACACACACACACACACACACACACACACACACACACACACACACACACACACACACACACACACACACACACCACACACACACACACACACACACACACACACACACACACACACACACACCACACACACACACACACACACACACACACACACACACACACACACACACACACACACACACACACACACACACACACACACACACACACACCAGCAGAACAACCTAAGAGTTATATCCAAGTCGTAATTCACCATGATATTTAGTTACGATATTATTTCCTAACTGTCATCCATTACTTTTGCTCTTCATAAAAACAAAACAAATTCAGGTTCGTCCTGCTATTGGTGACATTTGACTGTCCCCTTAATCTTTACTTACAGTTATGGCTGTATCATCTTGGGTCTGATCCCAAAAAGCTCAACTGTTACAAAACAACAGGGGAAACTACAACTATAATTATATAAAAAATAATATATGTGGGAAAATTGAAAATGTGGATAATGTAAAAAAACAAACATAGCAAAAGCAAATAAACAAGAATACTTAGCAGGGAATACTTAGCATCATAAAACCACTTCTCTGTTTTAAATCTCAATTTCAGTGAGATGAATTGTTAATTATATTAAGAATTGCTCTGAATAATTGACAACACAACACATTGTTTAATCAACAAGAAGCTTTTACTGAATCAATCAATCAATCAATCAATCAATGTTTATTTATATAGCCCAATATCAAAAATGTTACATTTGTCTCAGTGGACTTCACAGTTTGTACAGAATATCAGTATGACAATACGACACCCTCTGTCCTTAGACCCTCACATCGTACAAGGAAAAAAAACTGAAGGGTGGATCCATCTGAATTATCGCCCAACTCTAGTAAAAGCATAACAGGCACAGTGCCAATATGACACAAAAAGACATAACAGGCATAATACAAGTTGACAGTAATATTGGATCGATTACAGGTGTACACAAATAGAGTACATTCTGAGTTGACAGTAACAGGGTGTTGTTTTAAATCCCATATAACGGCATTAAAATCCACTTCTCCCTTTAAGATTTGTAAACAAAGATACAATTTGTATCAACAGCATACTGCCTCTTATCTTACTTACAATTTAACAGTTTTAAAAAGAAGCTCAAATACAGGACTAGTCCACTTGTACACAGGTATTTCTTTTAACAAAAAATGTTTGTATGTGTTTTGGCCTTTTGCACACTGGCGTCTAAGCATTAGTTTAAGAGATTGTTTAGTTCCTATGTTAACAAGAAATTGTAGGAAATACCTGTGGACTAATGCCTGGACTAAACGATTGTCTAAAAAATGCATTCAAGTACAGTTTACAGCAAGGTGGATACCACAATACATAAAAACACAAACTCATGTTTCACTTTTCTGAACATGTGTTCACATCATCGCTGGATCTCGTCTCAGCGACTATTTCTGACTCTGCAGCTTTAGGATCTCCACTACCAGCATCTGTGGATCCATCAGCTGAGGATACATATCCATGGCTGCATCTACCAAGTTGACGCTGAAGATAGCAAGCAGCTTCTTTCTCACAACCTCCCTCTCCTGCCCGCCAGGTCTGGACCCCGGAGGAGCCTCCCACTGAGAGCGCTCCCTCGACAGGCGCTGGACCACCTGAGGATGAGCCCCTATTGGGTCGGACCAGTACTGCTGCTGATGGTGGCTGTGGGCTCTGCTGTGCTGGAAGTCTGTCGGCTGACTGTACGCACTCACCGGGTATTCGTTGTAGCTGGGGTACTGATGCATGTAGGGAATGCTGTAATGCTGGTTTTGGTGCTGGAAAGCAGGCGTCGTGCCTCCAGAGGAAGGGCCATGTGAGCAGCAGCTGCAGGGAGGGCTGTACTGCTGTCTCACACTGTGGCTGTTCTGCAGGCTCTCATACGCCGTCGCATACTGGTGATCACACACACTCTGAGGAGCCTCCATTGGCTGACTGTCTATAGAGCCTAAACCAGAGTCCAGCTGCTCCCAAGAGCCACTCTGCCGCACTGACATGAGGTCAGGAGTCAAGCGCTTCTCCTTTTTAGATGTGGCCTTCTTGCTGGAGCGGTGACTTTTATGATCTTTCTTTAGGGAACCACTCTCGGGTCCCAAAGTCAGTTTCCGTGCCATGTCCTCCACCAGCGAGAGGCTCTGTCCCGGCACAGGACTGGAGCGAGTGGAGGATTGTTTCTGAGCGGTGGACGGGTGCTTAGCGTTGACCCGAAGCTCGTCGGCAACAGAGCGGTTGGACTGTTTGGCTCGCTCTGGATGGTGGAATTTACATTTAATCCCATAAGTGCACTTCTTCCCTGAGGAAGAATGAAACAGAATATTTAGTAGTGCAGATGATTTTTGTATCTGATACTGAGCTATGAAACAAAAAGTATTTGTGACACCTGCCAAGCAAGACCAGTAATGCGTTGTAGAATTGTTCTCACCATAAGGACATAGTTGTTTTTTCTGAGTCTTTGGAAACCTCCGCAAAAAGTTTTCAAGGGTCGGTCCGTAGCGGCCCAGAGGATCATCAGGAGGCATAAACCTTAGTGAGGGGGAAATTAAAACATTAGTAAACCTAGAATTACTGCCTCTACCAACCAGTTAAGTTGCACTATACATCAAAGTTACAGCCAAAATGTGAACCCTTGACCTCAATATGAAAGCGGACAGGGAACTTAGTGTCTATAAAAGGCAAAACTCACTTGTTATTAACAAAGGAATACATGAGCAGCCTCTCCTCAATGAACCGTTTCCACTCAGGCTTCTCTCCCTGAAGGTCTCGGTACATGTCGTTGGACACGATGATGCCGTCAGACTCGTAGCCCAGCTTGACGATAAAACAGTCGTCGTTACAGACCACCCGTTTGCCCGCAACACGTCTCGATGGCGTGAACACCACAATCTTCCTTTTCTCCAGGTCTCGGAGAATGTGCTGATCTGTAAACCAAGCATAACATCACAGTTAAACCTGTAGTAACTGAAAACATCCATCAGTTCAAAGACAGCCGTTTGAAGTCCTGTCACTGTCAAACGAAAATGACAAAAACTGCAGTTCCTCAAATGTTAACTTGACGCCGTCTCCAAAACGGGGTCAATCTCCATAGACTCACATTTTATAATGCAAACATACAGCAAAAATAAACATGATAACAATCTGGTACAAAAAAGTAGATTTATCAATTCAACAGACCACTTTCACATTGTCATTTACAAATATGGAGTGAAGCCACTTAAAGTCAATCATTACAGATCATAAGCTAAATAATAACCACCATATTTCAGGAAACTACAAATGCATTTGTGTTCTTTCCCAGCAGAGAGATTTGACCCGTTTAAATATTAACAAGGGCCCTACAAGTACGTTGTGCAAAATAAAATATTTATCAGCATGAGCAATCTGTATATAAAGCAAACAAGCAGTACGGTGGGTTTCAGATGTAACCAAAAGCTGTGCCACTCACTGACAGCTCAAATGGTTATCTTTTGGTATCTCAAACCAGCGGAAAAACCCTGCACTTTTATCTTTTGAGATTGTATCTACATTATTTACACATAATGATCATTTACTGGCAAATGGGAAGAAACCAAACCTACAAAGGGTATTTCCACATTGTAAGCAGCATAGCTCACTCGCTCAAATCAAATGGTTTTTAATTCTGCTTTAAAGTCTATTCAAGTCCTCAAATTAGACTGCAACAATAATCCAATCATTATTATTATTATTTATTTTTTCCCAATTACCTCCTCCAAGCGAGAAGTACCTCGGTAGCTGACATATTCAAAATGTGTTTTATTTGAATAGCAGTTTTAATAAAAAAGTTTGCAAAGATATAAAACATTAAAAACTGCAAATTCACACTTTTTAGATGCTACCAAATGTAAATGTTTTACATTTTTGCTTACAGAAAATTAATAATGAGGAGGCCCAACCTCTAATAACAAAAGGAAAAATGATACGTCATAAAAACACCACCACACCTTGGATCCAATTAAACTTGAGGGCGTAATTGTGTGTCGGCACGGTGGCAGACGAAGAAGGAAGTAGAAACTTTACAACGGGTATAAATGGCAGGCGTCTGACCTGTGATGGGAACATCTGGCCGAGGCTGCTCCTTCCTCCACGAGGGAACAAACACGGTGACTTCACTGTGACCTCTGTCCATGAAGAAGTCCACAGCCAGCTGGATTCCCAGACAAGAGAACACTTCCTTGTTCCCGTGGCTGAACGAAAGAAGAGGGATGGGAAACATTCACACGTTAACAATTAAACAAATGTCCAGCCAGTTCAGAACAAAGGCTGAAGTGTCTTTTATGATACCACTCTTTGATGTTCAATCTACATCACAGCTCTTATCAAACCCCCACTATTTGTCGTGTTAATTAAAGACTCGTTAAGAGAACAAGCTCACTTTTCTATAACAGGTTGACTTTCATAATTAAGTCTTAGATATTAAACCAACCTATTTTCTTTATCTATGAACAGTTTGGCCTATAATAAGTCTTACATTGTTTAGAAATATCCAACCCAGGCGCTCAAAGCCCATTGTAATGTCTTCCTACTGTTTGATATGTCGAAGAAGCAAGTTACAGCTCATTTCTTGATTTTTGTTTAGAAAAGAATATTAAAAGATTGATTTATTATCAATTTACAAATCACCTGATTGTCATTGGCACAAAGAGAGTTTAAGGTGAATATTCATGATCATCCCTATATAGTATATAGAACCCTGTACCAGCAACTAGCAGATTGTTACCTGTAGAATAGTTCAAATGTATATATGTACACACGTTTACTTTAGGTTTGATGTGAAAACACGACAGTTGACAGTGTCAAATAATAAAGAGAAATAAGAGGGTAAAAAAAGCCGATGTGAAATGCTGTTGAGCCTGTTCATGTGGAAATGATTTATTCCTTAATAAGCAGTGCTGTCCTTTAAGGAAACAAGAACAAAGTCACATTGTGCTGATTTGCATATTGAGCAGCCTCACGGCAATTCACCTGAACGAGCGTGCCCGGTTTGAAAATGCAAAATAAAAGGGTGTGTTTACTCCGAAACAGCAAGAAGACACACAGTGTGTGTAACCTGTGTGTGCGTGTGCACTCTCTCACCATTAGTTCCTTAAACTGTGTGTGCAGGTTGAGGTATGAGGAGGTGAAAGGAGGAAAAGGTTGTGTGTACCCCTGAGGCAGTTCCCAGAATGACTGGCAATATGTCTAACAACTGCAGATAACAACAGTAGCTAATTGTCTATGACACTGAGGGAATATATGACCCGATGTGTTTCAGAGTGTGTGTGAGGGCCCTTGTGCGCACACAATGTATGTAGATGTTTGTATGTAGATGTTTGTATTGTCCTAGGATGTAATAACAGTCCTTTAACATTCCCTCAGGCCGTGCGTAATGCAAATACAGAGTCAGCATTAAGCACCAATCATAACTCACCAGGAACTCCTAAAGTATCATTAGTTTGTATGATATTATCTGTGCCAGTAGCACCATGAGGTTCACTTTGGTGCTTTTGAGTGAGAGAACTGTTGGATGGATTGCCGTGGAATTTGCTACAAACATTCATTTCCCCCTCAGGATGAAATATAACTACTTTTGTGATCCTCTGACTTTTCATCTACCGTCACTATCACGTCAAATTTACTTTGGTTTATGACTAAATATTTGCAGAACTACGTCAGCCTCAGCTGTACTTTTTGTTTGGTGGTTATTAGCAAATGTGAGCATGCTAATGTGCTAAACAAGTATACTGGTCACATGTTAGCAAGCTTCAAATACTCAGACCTGGGCCGCAACATAGAAAAGGGTTAAATACTTAGGTTACAAAAAAGGGTAAATAAGTGATTAGATTACCGACAAACTAAGTAATATTAGTAATTATCATTAAATCATAGTCTCTAACGTTGGTGAAAAAAAACTTTTTCTTGTTGTGAAATGTTGCCATTACCTGGTATTGAGATAATCCAAAAGAAACAGATGGTATTTCAGTTACGTTAATTTAATTTTGTTAGTCTTGGATGAGGTTACTGACTACAGTTTTTATAAGAAATGTAATAGAGATACATTTCAATTCCATTGCCAGCCCTGACGTTAGCACTATGTAGAAAGTGTAGATGTTGTATTACTTCTCCTGTTTCATTAATATTAGAAGGTTTTATAGTAGATATGTTGCTAATAACATGAACAACCTATTCAACAAATCGAGTCAATTCTGCTTTCATTTAGCAGTTAACCCTTTAACAGCCAGCGCCACCATTTGGTAGAGCACATTTTGTGTCTTGATATCTTGTTGAATAAAAAAGGAAAAGAAAGTTAGGCCAACACAGGATATAGACATTTGCTGTTAGGCCAGTGGTTTCCTGTTAGGCCAATTCAGCATATACAGTAAGATGAGCAAGTCTTTTTTTATTATGAAAAACACTTTGCATTACTTTTTTCCATTTCTTTTTTTTACAATTATAATTTATTATCTTTTATGAATATACCTGGTTGTAAATATTGCTCATTTTCCATAAAAGAAAAAAATGTATTTGAGTTTGTGTTTTACAAATACTCTACTGTATATGATGATTGTTGAAAATGCACTTTTACCATAAAAGGCCAGCTCGACCAGTTGGTAGAAGCTCATAAAAACAAAACTGTGTGGTCAGTTAAAAAAATAAAATTGTTTGTGGTTATTTGTGGCCCATTTGATAAATAAAATGCAAACAAATAATTTTTCCATAGCTTTTTTCTTGGTCTGGCAGTTAAAGGGTTAAACAGTTAGCAGTTTTTTGCCACAGACTCCTGTGGAAGTTCACATGAAGCTGCATATCTCTATCTCGGTTTATAAAATCTTAATCACATGAACCTCCCACTACAGTTCATCTTTATGCACTATTTATAACCCAAATAAAAACTATCAGAATGATGTGAGTCAGTGTTGGGAAGCTCCCCTCGTTTCTTATCAGGCTTATCACCTTAATAACGAGGAAATTATCTAAAAACAAGACTGAATCATAGAGTGACTTGAGGTAAAAGGAAATATCCTCCTGGTTCCTGTCAATGCCTAGAAGAAAGACTTTGCTGTGTGTGACCCCAAAACAAATGTATAGCTCCAACGTAAAAGCTTTCCTTCACTAACAAGTGCTTTACTCCTCCCTGTCCTCGAGCAGTGAGCAAGTGTGGAAACAGTTAGAGCAGGAGACACGTTTTTATGAAACTAACTTTTTATTTTCCTTAATCTGCTGATTATTTTCTTGATCAATCGATGGCTTGCATGGTCCATAAAGCCTAGAAATAAAAGCCTGAGGTGATTTTATCAAAGATATTCAGCTTACAATTATAGGCTGCAACTAATAATCTTTTTCATAATCGATTTATCTGTTGATTGCTTTCCAAAAATAATTGTTTTGTCTTTTGGAAAAAGCAAGTCTAAAATGAAGTCTTTAAATGTTTATTTTTTCAATCAAAAAGGATTAAATTATTATAAAATAGAAAAGGTTTTCTTTAAAAAAAATAAGGTTAATTGAATTAAACGAGTAAGACCTAATTAAAAAAAAAAAATGTAATTAACAAAATAGGTGCTGATTATTTTGTTTTTCAGTGGAATAATCCATCATTTCACGGTCCTCACCTCATGGCCACGTTGCTCCCGTCTATAACGATGGGTCTCAGAGCATCGTCCTCTTCGGGGATCTCCTCTCTGCTCTGCGGGGAGGACACTGCTCGGGGGAGCAGCATGGTGGGCCCCGCAGGCTGGGGCTCCCCTCTGGGCACCAGCACAGACATCGTGGTCACCGGCCCCTGCTCGGGCCCCCCACCGGCCTCCTGGCTCGCCCCGATCTTCACCAGCTCCCCCAGGAGTTTGTCTGTGTCCATGTTGGGGCCGAACTTCTGCTGAACGGCCTGAACCTGGGCCGTGGAGTACCCCAGCTTGTGGAAGAAGTCCAGCTGGGCATCCGGATAATGGGGGCCCGGGGAGGGAGAGGGTCCGCTGGGGAGCATTCTATCACTGGAGGGATGGGAGGAGTTTGGATCCGGTAGGAGCGAAGGGAAGGTCCATGAAGAAGTGCCGGAGTCTGGGAGGTTCGTAATGTTTGGGATTTTACTCCACGGAGGTCCAGATGTGAAAACAGCAACATCAGCATTCATGTCTTCAACTCGCACACCTTCCACCTGTTGGGGAAAAAACACATTATAAGATACTGTGCTGATACTTATACTGCAATACAATTTGTGAAGCGTAAGTGAACTTTTTACTTAACTACCTTGATTTCACAACTGAAGTTAATTTGCAGGTTCAGATTATTAATACAAAATATAATGAACAAATACCAGATGAAATGTAGAAAAATATATAAAAAATGTGCCCACACTAGACCAGATTTAACAAGCATTTAACACATTGATGCATCAATAAATATATTTCAGTTATATGACAATTGATAACTGTATTCTGAATTCAGGTCACTTTTATTTTTAGTACTTTAAGTATAATTTGATGCTAATACATAAATAAGGTTCTGAATGTACGACTTTAACTTGTACCAGAGTATTTCTGTACTGGTATTGTTAACTAGCCTTTTTATTCCAGTAAGCTAAAAAACAGCTTTAACCTCTCAAATGTACGTTTTATTATTTTAATTATACATTATTTCTTTTTGTATTAATCGAGTCATTGTTAGGTATTTTTAATGGATAAATAAAAGAAGCCCATAACAGTTTTCCACTCTTCAAATGTGTCCTTTGTCCAATCAGAATCAGAAATACAAAAATGTATCACAATACAAGTAAATAACTAAATTCTCACATTTGCAAGGCTAAAACCAGGTTATGTGTTTGATAAATGTCTGAAATGAGTAAAATATGATCAAACTAGCTATAGATAATCAACTTTCAGTCCTGGGAAATATATCTTTGCTTGAGTGTAAACATATTGTCATCCTCCCATCTGACGGAAGTTAAATGCGAAATAAAAGAAGAACTGATAGAGGAAATAACCACAGATTATTATGTCATTCCCTAAGAATCTGAAACTAGAGTAAAACGTATTGGTGGAAAGTAACTAAGTAAGATATATTTACTTAAGTAATGTACATATGTATATATATGTTGAGGTTATTGTACTTTACATGACGTGTTATCTTTGGTATTTTGTACTTCTATGTCATTACAATCCAGAGGCAAATAGTGGACCTTTTGCTCCGTTACATGTATTTAACTTTACCGATTTAGTGTAATATTACAACATATAAAAAGGTAATGTTTTTATTATTAAGGTAACAAGACATTAGACTTAAATTATAAATGCACACCAGTCATATTAAGTAGGCTCAGTTAAAATTAGCTCTACTTTATAAAGTAATCATATACATTATTCTGAAGAGACCTTCTAGTGAGTAGGCTACTTTTGGAAGGCCTACTTTAAGTATATTTGATGCTATCATGTTTTTATTTTTACTTAAGAGAGTGCAGGAAAAATATAATTATATTAATAATAATATTATTATTAATAATAATAATCTTTATTTCTATAGCACCTGTCATACAATAATTGCAGTGCTTGACAGTAGACAGTTGACATCTCTTAAAACACTCACAGAAAATTGATATCACATAGAATACAGTTACCAGTAAAAGCCATAAAAACAAACTTAAAATAGCATAGAACAGACGTATAAAAAATAAATGTAGATTAAAAGGTACGACGATAAAAGTGTGCATTAACAGGAGGACAGTGCAAATACAACACAAAATCAGCTGACAGGTGAACATGCATCAGAGTGCATTGAGAAACAGGAGGTAGCTTCCAAAAGGCAAAAAATTGTACAAATATTTTTTAAGTATTTGTTTTTTTAAAGACTTCAACCGAGCAGGCTTTCCTGATGTCTAGGTACTTTGTGGCATAGTACTTTTAACAGAGTCATTATAGTGAATCTAATAACATCTAGTACAACAATATCTATTTCCACCATTGTTGAATATTCTGTTTAAGTGGTGTGTACTTTATAAACACAGGGCAACAGAGTGTCAAACAACTTAGTTTTACAAAGTCGCTGTTTCTGTTTCCGCTTGTTCAAACCTAGCGAAAAGGACGGACATAAACGTACCTTAAACAACACGAAGGAGCTGTTGAATGAGTATCTCCTCTTAGGTTTCCAGGTGAAGGATCTGCTGCTGCTGAGCTAACGTGTCGACGAGGCGGCTCTCTCTGGAGCTGTGAGCCGGCAACAAGGAAGTCGGGTTTTCCCTTCTCTCCACATGAGACCACAGCGCAGGTTGGGGCGAGTCACATGAGCACCAGTAAAACAGATAAACCTGCTGCCTCCGAGCAGAGGTGGGAGAAGTGCTCACATCTTGTACTTGAGTAAAAGTGGAAGTACCAGAGTAGGAATACTCTGTTACAAGTAAAACTCCTGCATTCAAAATGTTAGTCAAGTAAAAATAGAAAAGTATTGGCATCTAAATATACGTAGTCATTATGCAAATTGATCAATTTCAGAATAATATGTATTATATGTTTTGATTATAATTATTGATGCATTACAGGTCACCTATTATGCAAAATCCACTTTTCATGTCTTTTATACATAAACATGTGTCCCCTCTGTGTAAAGAGATTCTGAAAGTTTCAGGAAAAAAGATTCACTCACTTTCTGTCCTGATCCATTTATATAAAAACCTGTCGGAAAATGAGCTGATCAGATTTTGGCCACTTTATGATGTCATAACGTTTTTTTGGCTTGTGTAACCATTAGCCAATAACCAACCAAGGTAAGACCCCCCCCCCCACCTTATCACCTGCATCTCCTCCTAGAGCACCATTGTGTTCTTTTTAACCAAATATCTGAGGGGCGTGGGAAGTGGCTCCTTATTTTCATCTAAAGTAAAAGACAGAGAATCAGCACTTTTGAAACAGGGCTGAAACATAAAGGTTTATGGGATGCTACAATGCACGATCTGTTTGGTATTTCGAGCAAAACACTTCAGAGACATGTTTTGTATATATCTGAGACCTATAATATATTGATGAAAAACAGTATAATAGGGGACCTTTAAAGTGTTATCAAAGCTGGTAAAGGTGCAGCTAGTTTTAATGACTTTGTATACTGCATGGTAGATGGTGAATTTACTCCAGGTGTAACTAAAGTCTGATTTAAGTGTTGATTATATTTCCCATCATTAATCCAAATCTGCAAAGTAACGAAAGGTACCAAATACATGTAGTGGAGCAAAAGTACACGATTTACCTCTGAATTGTAGTGGAGTAGAATTACAAAGAAGCATTAGATTGAAATACTCAAGTAAAGCACAAGTATGTAGTTAGTTACTTCCCACTGCTGCCTCTGAGGGCAGTTCTCTATCAATTACATATGCATGCATGAGGAAAATTAGGTAAAGCAAGTAAAAGTGACATCACCACAATGTAGAATTAGCCTAAACTCGGCTGCAAGTACCTACAAGACAGTGTATTAAAATTACAATTTAAAGTACTACCAAAATGGATATAATTTACAGGCCTACTTTAGTATGCCAGATCTCTTAATACATAATAATAATTTAAAAAATGTAGAAATTGATCATTATTAATAATAACCTAAATCAATAAATTATTTTTCGAATCTAAATCTGCTAAAGTACCTGACTGTTATCAAATAAATACAGTTGACAAAACAGTAGCATATTGCCCTCCAAAATGTAGAAATAATCGTGTGTAGCACAAAATGAAAAGTAGTATTAGCATCCAACTGAATAATCGCAGAGTGGCTCTCTTTGGAATAATATATATTATTTTTGAAAATATTTATGAAAGTGACTAAGTCAATTAACTCAAGTTACTAAGTACGGCATACTTGTACTTTACTTGAGTATTTCCATTTTATGCTACTTTAGACTTCACTTCATTTTAGCGAAAGATATGTGTTTATTTTCCTACATTTAAACGACACTTTCACTTAATTTTTTCATTAAAAAAATGAAATGCTTGAAAAGTATCTAAAATTGGCTCCAACATTAAAATACTTTTTCATACATTCGTTATGGATAAGAACAGAATATTATAATAATTCTGTGATAATATAACACTGAGAAGCCATTCTGCATTAGGAGTACTTTTACTTTTGATACAAAAGATAAATTTAGCTTACAATAAGGGTGCAACACCACCAGCCAAAGGGCTAGTAAATGTTCAAATTGTATTCGTTACTCAAAAGATTAACATTGTTTTTTGAATGGTGAGGGATGCTGCAAATCTAAACCCTTGAATATTTGATCAGCATTTGACAGATAACCGGTGCTAATTCATTTCTACTGAAGTAACAATTTGCATTCAGGACTGTTTTTTTACAATGGAGTATTTTTTAGATTTCTCCTTTTACTCATGAGGATCTCTTGTAAATCTGAATACTTTTTTGATCAATAATAATTGTAATTTCTGTCACTGCTGGGTAGCTTAATCTATGACAAAACGTTACAATGTATTTGTTTGTTAGATACATTTACACAAACCACAGTTGATTTACGGTTTTCACCAAAGCGGGACAAGGTCATATTTAAAAAAAATGATATACTTCACGCTACAAAAGGGTTTCACTTTAGTTAACTTATAAATCACTCTGTTTAAGACATGTTCATGCAGTAGGGAGGACAAATTATATATTAAAACCATGAGTATTCTTAAGATTCATTAAGACATGTTGCTAAGATTCAGATCATAATTTTGTCCATACATTTATATGTTACTGTTATGTAATTTAGGTTGAACAGTTAAATAGTGAGAACTTTGTGAAGGATTTCAAAAAATATTCTGAATGATTTGAATACCGAAAGGACTGAGAAGAAAAATCAACATGGTCAGAATAATCTTTTTACTCAATGTTTTATTCTCACAGCCCCAATCCTCCTCCAATTCCACATTCTTCCTGGACAGAACTCTAGAAGCAAATATAATTTACCTTAGGGATTGTTTTACTCGATTTACCCTCTATGGCAGTTACGCCTTCTCCACTGTGTTTTGGGCTCTATTTTAAGGGGGATAATAGGGATCACAACTGGATATAATGCATTAGGCAGAGGGGTTGGTCGATAAATCCGATGTGGAGGTTGTGTTGGCTCTGGTGTTGTGGGCGGTGGTGGAGGTGTGGTGAGTTCTGGTGGAGGTGTTGTTGGCTCCGGTGGAGGTGTTGTGGGCTCCGGTGGAGGTGTTGTTGGTTCCGGTGGAGGTGTTGTTGGCTCCGGTGGAGGTGTTGTTGGCTCCGGTGGAGGTGTTGTTGGCTCCGGTGGAGGTGTTGTTGGCTCCGGTGGAGGTCTTGTAGGCTCCGGTGGAGGTGTTGTGGGCTCCGGTGGAGGTGTTGTTGGCTCTGGTGGAGGTGTTGTAGGTTCTGGTGGAGGTGTTGTGGGCTCCGGTGGAGGTGTTGTTGGCTCTGGTGGAGGTGTTGTAGGTTCTGGTGGAGGTGTTGTGGGCTCCGGTGGAGGTGTTGTGGGCTCTGGTGGAGGTGTTGTGGGCTCCGGTGGAGGTGGAGGTGTTGTTGGCTCCGGTGTAGGTGAAGGTGAAGGTGTTGTTGGCTCTGCAGGTGTTGTGAGCTCCGGTGGAGGTGTTGTAGGTTCTGGTGGAGGTGTTGTGGGCTCCGGTGGAGGTGTGGTTGGCTCCGGTGGAGGTGTTGTGGGCTCCGGTGGAGGTGTTGTGGGTTCTGGTGGAGGTGTTGTGGGCTCTGGTGGAGGTGTTGTTGGCTCTGGTGGAGGTTCTGTTGTGGGCTCTGGTGGAGGTTCTGTTGTGGGCTCCGGTGGAGGTGTTGTGGGTTCTGGTGGAGGTGTTGTGGGCTCTGGTGGAGGTGTTGTTGGCTCTGGTGGAGGTTCTGTTGTGGGCTCTGGTGGAGGTTCTGTTGTGGGCTCTGGTGGAGCTGTTGTTGGCGCTGGTGGAGGTTCTGTTGTGGGCTCTGGTGGAGGTGTTGTAGGCTCTGGTGGAGGTGTTGTGGGCTCTGGTGGAGGTGTTGTTGGCTCTGGTGGAGGTGTTGTGGGCTCTGGTGGAGGTGTTGTGGGCTCTGGTGGAGGTTCTGTTGTGGGCTCTGGTGGAGGTGTTGTTGGCTCTGGTGGAGGTGTTGTTGGCTCTGGTGGAGGTGTTGTGGGCTCTGGTGGAGGTTCTGTTGTGGGTTCTGGTGGAGGTGTTGTGGGCTCTGGTGGAGGTGTTGTGGGCTCTGGTGGAGGTGTTGTGGGCTCCGGTGGAGGTGTGGTTGGCTCCGGTGGAGGTGTTGTGGGCTCTAGTGGAGGTGTTGTGGGCTCTGGTGGAGGTGTTGTGGGCTCTGGTGGAGCTGTTGTTGGCGCTGGTGGAGGTTCTGTTGTGGGCTCTGGTGGAGGTGTTGTAGGCTCTGGTGGAGGTGTTGTGGGCTCTGGTGGAGGTTCTGTTGTGGGTTCTGGTGGAGGTGTTGTGGGCTCTGGTGGAGGTGTTGTGGGCTCTGGTGGAGGTGTTGTGGGCTCTGGTGGAGGTGGTGTTGGCTCTGGTGGATTTGTTGTGGGCTCTGGTGGAGGTGTTGTTGGCTCTGGTGGAGGTGTTGTGGGCTCTGGTGGAGGTTCTGTTGTGGGCTCTGGTGGAGGTGTTGTAGGCTCTGGTGGACGTGTTGTTAGCTCTGGTGGAGGTTCTGTTGTGGGCTCTGGTGGAGGTTCTATTGTAGGCTCTGGTGGAGGTGTTGTTGGCTCTGGTGGAGGTGGTGTTGGCTCTGGTGGAGGTGTTGTGGGCTCTGGTGGAGCTGTTGTTGGTGCTGGTGGAGGTTCTGTTGTGGGCTCTGGTGGAGGTGTTGTGGGCTCTGGTGGAGGTGTTGTGGGCTCTGGTGGAGGTGTTGTGGGCTCTGGTGGAGGTTCTGTTGTGGGCTCTGGTGGAGGTGTTGTTGGCTCTGGTGGAGGTGTTGTGGGCTCTGGTGGAGGTTCTGTTGTGGGCTCTGGTGGAGGTGTTGTAGGCTCTGGTGGACGTGTTGTTAGCTCTGGTGGAGGTTCTGTTGTGGGCTCTGGTGGAGGTTCTATTGTAGGCTCTGGTGGAGGTGTTGTTGGCTCTGGTGGAGGTGGTGTTGGCTCTGGTGGAGGTGTTGTGGGCTCTGGTGGAGCTGTTGTTGGCGCTGGTGGAGGTTCTGTTGTAGGCTCTGGTGGAGGTGTTGTTGGCTCTGGTGGAGGTGTTGTGGGCTCTGGTGGAGGTGTTGTTAGCTCTGATGGAGGTTCTGTTGTGGGCTCTGGTGGAGGTGTGGTTGGCTCCGGTGGAGGTGTTGTGGGTTCTGGTGGAGGTGTTGTGGGCTCTGGTGGAGGTGTTGTTGGCTCTGGTGGAGGTTCTGTTGTGGGCTCTAGTGGAGGTGTTGTGGGCTCTGGTGGAGGTGTTGTGGGCTCAGGTGGAGGTGGTGTTGGCTCTGGTGGAGGTGTTGTGGGCTCTGGTGGAGCTGTTGTTGGCGCTGGTGGAGGTTCTGTTGTGGGCTCTGGTGGTGGTGTTGTAGGCTCTGGTGGAGGTGTTGTGGGCTCTGGTGGAGGTTCTGTTGTGGGCTCTGGTGGAGGTGTTGTTGGCTCTGGTGGAGGTGTTGTGGGCTCTGGTGGAGGTGTTGTGAGCTCTGGTGGAGGTTCTGTTGTGGGTTCTGGTGGAGATGTTGTGGGCTCTGGTGGAGGTGTTGTGGGCTCTGGTGGAGGTTCTGTTGTGGGCTCTGGTGGAGGTGTTGTGGGCTCTGGTGGAGGTTCTGTTGTGGGCTCTGGTGGAGGTGTTGTGGGCTCTGGTGGAGGTGGTGTTGGCTCTGGTGGATTTGTTGTGGGCTCTGGTGGAGCTGTTGTTGGCGCTGGTGGAGGTTCTGTTGTGGGCTCTGGTGGAGGTGTTGTGGGCTCTGGTGGAGGTGTTGTGGGCTCTGGTGGAGGTTCTGTTGTGGGCTCTGGTGGAGGTGTTGTAGGCTCTGGTGGACGTGTTGTTAGCTCTGGTGGAGGTTCTGTTGTGGGCTCTGGTGGAGGTTCTGTTGTAGGCTCTGGTGGAGGTGTTGTTGGCTCTGGTGGAGGTGGTGTTGGCTCTGGTGGAGGTGTTGTGGGCTCTGGTGGAGCTGTTGTTGGCGCTGGTGGAGGTTCTGTTGTAGGCTCTGGTGGAGGTGTTGTTGGCTCTGGTGGAGGTGTTGTGGGCTCTGGTGGAGGTGTTGTTAGCTCTGGTGGAGGTTCTGTTGTGGGCTCTGGTGGAGGTTCTGTTGTAGGCTCTGGTGGAGGTGTTGTTGGCTCTGGTGGAGGTGTTGTGGGCTCTGGTGGAGGTGGAGGTGTTGTTGGCTCCGGTGGAGGTGTTGTTGGCTCTGGTGGAGGTGTTGTGGGCTCCGGTGGAGGTGTTGTTGGCTCTGATGGAGGTGTTGTGGGCTCTGGTGGAGGTGTTGTGGGCTCCGGTGGAGGTGTTGTTGGCTCTGGTGGAGGTGTTGTGGGCTCTGGTGGAGGTGTTGTTGGCTCTGGTGGAGGTGTTGTGGGCTCTGGTGGAGGTGTTGTGGGCTCCGGTGGAGGTGTTGTTGGCTCTGGTGGAGGTGTTGTGGGCTCCGGTGGAGGTGTTGTGGGCTCCGGTGGAGGTGTTGTTGGCTCTGGTGGAGGTGTTGTGGGCTCCGGTGGAGGTGGAGGTGTTGTTGGCTCCGGTGGAGGTGTTGTTGGCTCCAGTGGAGGTGGAGGTGTTGTTGGCTCCGGTGGAGGTGTTGTTGGCTCCAGTGGAGGTGGAGGTGTTGTTGGCTCCGGTGGAGGTGTTGTTGGCTCTGGTGGAGGTGTTGTTGGCTCTGGTGGATTTGTTGTGGGCTCTGGTGGAGCTGTTGTTGGCGCTGGTGGAGGTTCTGTTGTAGGCTCTGGTGGAGGTGTTGTTGGCTCTGGTGGAGGTGTTGTGGGCTCTGGTGGAGGTGTTGTTAGCTCTGGTGGAGGTTCTGTTGTGGGCTCTGGTGGAGGTTCTGTTGTAGGCTCTGGTGGAGGTGTTGTTGGCTCTGGTGGAGGTGTTGTGGGCTCTGGTGGAGGTGGAGGTGTTGTTGGCTCCGGTGGAGGTGTTGTTGGCTCTGGTGGAGGTGTTGTGGGCTCCGGTGGAGGTGTTGTTGGCTCTGGTGGAGGTGTTGTGGGCTCCGGTGGAGGTGGAGGTGTTGTTGGCTCCGGTGGAGGTGTTGTTGGCTCCAGTGGAGGTGGAGGTGTTGTTGGCTCCGGTGGAGATGTTGTTGGCTCCAGTGGAGGTGGAGGTGTTGTTGGCTCCGGTGGAGGTGTTGTTGGCTCTGGTGGAGGTGTTGTTGGCTCCAGTGGAGGTGGAGGTGTTGTTGGCTCCGGTGGAGGTGTTGTTGGCTCCGGTGGAGGTGTTGTTGGCTCCGGTGGAGGTGTTGTTGGCTCTGGTGGAGGTGTTGTTGGCTCTGGTGGAGGTGTTGTTGGCTCTGGTGGAGGTGTTGTGGGCTCTGGTGGATGTGTTGTGGGCTCTGGTGGAGGTGGTGTTGGCTCTGGTGGAGGTGTTGTTGGCTCTGGTGGAGGTGTTGTTGGCTCTGGTGGAGGTGTTGTTGGCTCTGGTGGAGGTGTTGTGGGCTCTGGTGGAGGTGGTGTTGGCTCTGGTGGATGTGTTGTGGGCTCTGGTGGAGGTGGTGTTGGCTCTGGTGGAGGTGTTGTTGGCGCTGGTGGAGGTTCTGTTGTGGGCTCTGGTGGAGGTGTTGTAGGCTCTGGTGGAGGTTCTGTTGTGAGCTCTGGTGGAGGTGTTGTGGGCTCTGGTGGAGGTGTTGTGGGCTCTGGTGGAGGTTCTGTTGTGGGCTCTGGTGTAGGTGTTGTGGGCTCTGGTGGAGGTGTTGTTTGCTCTGGTGGAGGTGTTGTTGGCTCTGGTGGAGGTGTTGTGGGCTCTGGTAGAGGTGTTGTTGGCTCTGGTGGAGGTGTTGTGGGCAGTGGCGGTGTGGTTTTAGAGGAATCTGTAATATGACCGTATGTTAAAGATTGGGTTGTAGGTTCTGGATCAAAAGATGGAAAAGAAAGGTCTTCATCTTCAGTGGTTGCCTCTATGTCCATTTTAATTGGTGGCTGGATGGTCATTTGAGGTCTCTGTCCCCCATGTCCTCCTTTTTCACCTTGACCACAATTGCAAGGACTCAGCTTAGTGATGTGTCTAATCAGATCGGCACTCGGGAAGTCCATGCTGATGACACCTAAGCAGCCCCGGTTAGAGGAGGTTCTATTATGTTCCACAACAAGGTCATAAAGCTGCGTGTTAATGTCTTCAACCAATGTTTTAGGAATTGCCCACCATTTTGCCTCACAATTTGTCCTTACAATCAAACCGACACACATGTATGCCTTGTGGTGCTCTATTTGAGCTTCAACATTCTTTAGCTTTTTACGTTCAAAGAACTTTGATTTGTAATTTACTGTTCCTTCATTAAATGTTTTACTCTGGAGAAAAATAATCCTGCCCCTTGCCTCTTTCATATTTGGTGCTTTCGATGTAGTCAATATATTATTTCGGAAGTTTTCAATCAATTTCTTCATCAGTTCGTCAACTTTTGATTTGTAAAAGAAAGCATGATGGAGACTCACTTTCAACAGCACAGTCTCACTACTGTGGTCTGATAAGAAATTGATAATCTCTGTTAGAACTTCATCAAATCGAATGCGTTTCCAAAACATCATGTTTCCATCCAGAATATAAATGTTGTCTTTATCCCGCAGCCTAGTCTCAGCATGCAAATCAAAATATCGTATTCCCACATTAAGTTGGTCTTTCAAGGTCCAAACTTGACAGTTATATGCATATCGTGACAAGCTTTTGTGTGTTCCAGGAATTGAGATAGCAGAGACTGGAGTCTCGTCAGGAATAGACTTCATCCAGTCCAGGTTAAGAAATTGTGAATCCAGGGTTTCTTTATCATTGAAACCTTTCCCTGAACAGGCGGTTATTCTGATGGGGGGAAGACACGATTATGATAGTGTAAATATTTCAATAGCAGAAGAAAGTTGAACTAGTTGTTTAACAACAGGCAAATAAAAACTGTCTACACAGGACATTTTTTGCCAAAAACCAACCATTATCAATTATAGGTCCTACTTACATAGAGAGAAGCCAGATGTAAAGATGGATCTCCATGATCGGTTTCTTGACTAATCGATGTTCCAGTGAGCTTGATCAGGATTTTTTTAGCTTTCTTTCCCAGATGTTGTTTCGCTTTCTTTCCAAGACATATTTTCCCCGATTGTCAATATGCAAAATGTTTCACAAGAAAAGCTTCCACCCGTGGAGTTGACTGTTACAAACTCAACTGTTTGAGTGTGAGTGAGCTGCTGTAACAGTGAGCATAACGATCAAATATTATTTTGCATGTTTCTACTCCCTAATCTTTTATTTGAATAGGAGGGGGAGAGAGAAAGAAAGACACAAAGACTAAGGGCTACATTACAATTGTGAACAGATTATATCATAACAGTTCAGTTAGTAAAATGAGTCTTCAGGAACGAGTCAATTTAGCTACAGTATATCCTTTATACACTGGATGTACTGTACATGTACAATTCATTAATGAAAACATTCATTTAGAAATGTACTTGTATCGGAACAAATATAGGTATACAATACCACCCTTGTTGACATACATTTGTATAGTTTTTGTAAAGGACTGTTTATTTACACCTTGTTTAAATAAATCTGTACGCAATTGTATCAGAAAAGCACATATTCAATTTCTTGCTGAGGTTGAGAGGAGAGTTTTGAAGTTTGAAGCTCCAGAGAGCAAGACTGCAAGAATAGGGAAAAATGTAGCCTTACTTTTTACATAGGGAAGAAAAGTTTACCAGTAACTGTAAAGCTCACTAATTAGAGAAGTTATATCTTCTTTGTTTAAGCTTAAAGGGGGTTACGCACAGGACTTTTCTCTGAGTGGGCGCAGTGACTTCCTGAAACCTTGTCATCAATTGAGGTTGCCATAAAGCACCAAAGACTCAAGTCTATGCTAAGCTAAGCTTCGCATTTACTTCTAAAATTCAAACTATTCCTTTAAATGCTTGTACTTGTACTGTTGATGTTACCACATTCATTTGGCCATGAAGTGTAATAAGGCGATTTAACTTTTATGTTTGCATCATACCATCAACACGCCTATAGCACAATGTTGTAATAAACAAAAATGTAAAATATACCCAGTCATTTGCCTTCTTTGGTTGGTTTTGCTGTGCTGCCACGTCACCCTTATCCTGGCCAATAAGCTTGTGTCTGGCTTCTGCTGATCCTCTTCCTCACCACCTGTTGCATCTTAATGCGACAGTTTATCTGCAGAAGCACGATCAGATAAGACTTGACATGGACAATTTGTTAGTAGTGGCGATTCACAACAGGAAGGCTCAGATAATGCCTTTTAAATGACAGGAGTGCTTTAGAACTGAGAAGGGCTAAACTGCTTCCAACACCCACTTGTGCACCAGCTTTTGACTACGAGTGAATCCCTTGTTTGTCATTGCAGGATGTCTATGAGAACTCTCCCCCTGGTTTTCATTAATCTTGGTGGGGAAATGCTTTACATACTGGACCAACGCCTACAAGCTCTCAACACGTCCGAGGACAATTCAGAGAAAGGTAGAGGTAGCTAGAGAAATGACAGGCTTGGGAGGTGCCTGTGTTTAGCTCCCAGTCACCCCTCCTCCTGACAAGCTGTATAGCTGATGCTTGAAAACTAACCATGTGCAGCATTTGCTTTACATGCACTGACAATCTCAAATGACAGGTCTGTTTTCTTTCTTTGTTTACCTGGAAACCTAACTCGGATGCAGGAGTGTGGTCAGAAAATGACAGAAAAAGAGGTATTCATGCAATACTTAACATGATAGTCAGTTCCTTGTGCCCCTGTAGCATTAGTGGTGAACAAGTATTGAGACCTTTTACTTAGGATAAGTCAAATTAGCAATACTGAGGTGTAGTAGTATACACTGACTAAAGGAAAATGAATAATTTGGCAGAGTTGTATAATTATATAGCCTAGCTAGCCACATAAAGCTTTACCTTATCTTGTTTACTATTTGCACAGCCGTTGTAGTATTATAAGGATAAACACAACAACAAAAAGAGGCTAAACAACTTTAAAGTAAGTGTATCTTGCCATGTAGGAAACTTGGTGTGGGGCCATGTCTCAGCATGGGGTTCTATTGTCTAATAAGTCTCCAATGGGCATAAAATAACAAGAATTAACCACCTTTCTGTTTCTGTGTCACTCACAGTTATGAATGGCATTGTGGGGGCCATGTTTAGTAAAGACTTTATGGATGAACTTCTCAAACCTCAGCAGCTGTATTCTCACCGAACCCTGAAAACAGTGCTAACTCGGATAGCACACGCCTCCATCATGAGGCTGAACCCGGCCAGCATGGACAGGGTATTTACAAGATGAAAGGAATTTATTACATTATGTCACTTTAGTGATTTTATTTCATAACATTACATTTCAAACATTGTTATTCAAAAGTTGTGCTTAACTACTGTTGGCAGTTTACTTCTGTCATCATTGGCCAAAAGTTCCATAACAACCTGTCAGCATACTGTTATTCAATGGTAACCAGGTTAGGCCATTTTGAAAAAAGGAAAAAGAGATTACAAACATATTCAAGGCTCTCTACTATGTCGATGAAGCATTTAAGAAATATTGCCTACCCCAGCTTTAACAATGTTTTTATATATCATATTGTATACATCATATCATATCGAAGACAAAAATCTTGCAATACATGATAAATAATTGTAAAGAACAGTATAATCAAGGGTTATTACTGGCCACGCAAGGGCTGCCCAACACTGGCCTACTGTTGTTTTATATTTTCAGGATTTTATCAGGTCAAATACTGAGGGTTTTATTAATGGTTTAAGTCCCCTAAAGGTGTCAATAGGGTCAAAATAAATTGTCAAAAATGGTCAGTCTTAGAGCATTAAAAGGTAGTTTGGTTTGATCGCAGTGGTGGCATGTCCCTAAAGTTGATACCTTCTTCCTTTTTCCCTCTTGTAGCTTTACGAGCTGATGGTCATGGCGTTCAAATATCAAATCTTCCTTTGTCCAAGGCCTAAAGACCTGCTGCTCATCACTTACAATCACATAGATACCATCAGGGAACTTGTAAAAGACACTCCTGTGGTTGTGAACCAAGTGGACGAGACACACAGGAAGATCATCGAGGTATGTTGAGAGCTGTTATGTAAATCAACCTTTAACTATCATATTGACTGTTTTATGCTGCATGCTACAGTATGTGCAAGTGTCTGTACATGCGTGTGCATACTGTCCGGATTCCAGCTGTCAGTTTTTAACAGAGCTGTATCCTGTCTGGCCTGTTTTTCTTTATGTATACTGTAGGTATACTCATCTTTACCCGAAGGTGAATTCCAGCTTCTCAGACAAACGCTGCTCATATTTTTTCAAGACATGCATATTCGAGTAAGTCCTCTGCTTTTTGTTTGTTCAATTCTCCTTACATGTCAGTCAATGCAGTCAGTACATGTCAAATAGAATATAGCCTTGTTTGAATGTTGTTTTTTCTTCTTAGGTGTCACTTTTCCTCAAAATTTTAGTCCAAAATCCCAACGGACGTTTTGCCCTGTCAACATCAGGCCCAGTGCCTCATGGGATAGATGTCCCAGGGCTCATTAGGTAGGCTGCTGACAAACATTGTGTTTTCTGATTTTAGAAGTCTGTTGAACTATCTTTTACATACTAAATCAGACATAAACCATGCCTTCTCTTTTTAGAATGTATGTATTTTATGCATGGTCCTTACAATAATATGAAAATGGTGACACAGCGCTGTCATATCACTTTTTGTTTACCTCTATTATCATTCAAATACTACAGTCTGAAATATACTGAAAAATATTAAACTAATGAATATTAAGTTATCTCTCCTGTCACCTTTCTTTTTTTATTGATTCTATCAAGATTTGATGACGTCTTATGTAGGTCAATTGCGAGGAAATGTGTGGCAGACATTCAATGTCCCCAGAGGATGATTCCCAATGACTATGGGAATCCTCTGACTTGTGGTCGTGTTCTAGATGGTAACATGTTGTAAAACGTTCTGCACTTAACTGCATGTCACTACTTACATAAGACATTTCAAACCGTAAGCTTATAAAATGAACAGAATTGTTCTACAAATTGTTTCAGCTTCTCAGAAAAAGCAATACAATTATCTCTAAAGTTAAGATTGTCCTTTTAAAACACAGTTAACAATGTCAGATTCGTCACTTAGAAGTATGATACTTTAATTTCTAATGAATCAATTCTTTGTTTGTTTTAAATGACAAACCTATAAAAAGAGCTAGTAACGAGGCAAGAAAAGGGAATCAATTTGCTTACTAACATGTTTTCACACAGGGTAACTGGTTCGTAAAGACTATTTTTTACTGTTTCAGAACTAAATATTAAATACTTTTACACACCAAGCCTATTTTCTAATCTGGTGGTTGGGTATCATTTCCACACAGCCAATCACCTCCATTGGTGGCACCATGCACATGTAGCCGTTTGTATGATGCAAGTCTCAAGGCTCCTCTGACAAGCTGAAATGTCTTAACTTGAAAATGCCCTCTGACAGCTTAAAAGTAATATCTCAATATTCCACGGTTTCATCATCTGCTTCCTGTTACAGGACGTTTGACGGAAAGGGCAGAGAAGTGAGACGGAGTGAGTTCCCCTCAGGAGGAAGTTACAGCAGCTCTGTGAGAGAGGGGTGCTTTGAACTGCATGGAGACAGAGTCATCAGACTGGGCATGGACATGTATGAACTGTACACCACATGTACTAATGATGACATGAAAATAACATGCAAGTGGTTTGAACATGACGCTCCCTTGTGTTACATGAAAATAGGTACACTGTGAACCATCCAGAGGAGACACACACATCGAAGGATACCTTTGTCCAGGTAATAAGAGGAGTGTTAAAGATCTGAAGCTACAAGCATTTCTTTTTGGGAGGTCACAAGGTTGAATGAAGAGTAGAAAACTCCAAATAGTGTTTTTTTCTCCTGAATGTTTCATATTGATTTCTTATTATACATGTTGTAAGCACTAAATCTAGCAGAGAAAACATATCGTTCTTGCCATCTTGCACATAT